ATCATAAGTCAGCTTGGGACAGCGATACTCGCTTTCTATATTCATGCAGTTGTGGTTCGGACAGTTCCGTTCAGCCCTTAGAGATTACAGATTGAGGATCTGCACTCTGCAGGAAGAGCAAAACCGCGGGCCACCTTGAGTCCCCTAAATGGGAGTTTCCGAAAATAGGGGGTACCTTATTTGGGGGTCCTTATAATAAGGATCCTACTATTTAGGTGCTATATTAGGGTCCCCTATTTTCGGAAACCCCCAAATTAATCCGAAACCCTGAATCCCATACAGCAGCCCTCAACCCAATCCCTGGAGCCCAAATCCTTACAGAACACTGATAGAAAGCGTTCCCTTATAGTAACCCACAGGGAAACCCGCACAGGAAACCTTGGAGTAACCGGTCTACAAAACCTTGTAATAAGCGTAGATCCTAAACCAACCGCATTGGAGTTCCTAAACCCTAAACCCTAAACCCTAAATCCTAAGCCCTAAACCCCAAACCCTAAATCCTAAGCCCTAACCCTAAACCCTAAATCCTAAGCCCTAAATTCCTCTAAGCTTCGCAGGTCTCTCGTACCTTCCTCACGGCTGGTGCGGCCGCAGGAACTGCTGGGGCCCCTGGCAGGGCTTCCCTAGGATTCTTCGTCTTATCATGTTTGCGACTGCAATGTTTCGCTGTGTTGTTTTGATTCACTCCTTCTACTGCCATGGTTTGGTTTAATCAATTGGTTTGATCTTAGTTGGTTGTTACAGCTTATTGCCAGTACCTGGATATGGCAAGTAAAACTGTTGGTTAAGGCCTTCAAGTGTATAGGGTATAGTGTCAGCACTTCTCTGCCAAGCTTCGAGACGGAGGGTCAAGGCATCACAGCCTTGTTTCTGCAAGACGCCAAGCCCAGCAAGCTCTCTGCACCGGTATCCTGAACCTTGGCTCCAGCCCTTAACCCTGTACCATGAACCCTAAACCACCCATAAGAAATGGGTTCAGCGTTTGCACCCCTCGAAAGGTCGCCCGTTCTTTGTCGGCCTACGACATGCAGCGTCTTGCCTAAACTGGCGTTGTGCCTTTTTTCGAGGGGGGGCCTGTTTGAACGGGGTGCTTCGGTTTTCAATGTAACATATGCATACCGATACCTCAGACACACCTACGTACATATACACTTACATACCTACCAGTACATGCATGCATAACATGCATACATACATATATTCGTAACATGTATGCATACATGCATACATACATACACACATACACACATACATACATACATACATACATACATACGTACATACATACATACATACATACATACTTACATACATACATACATACATGCGTACAAAAGGACATACATAAATACATATGTACATACATTTCGCTCGTCGCGATTGAGTCCGAAGCAGACGCACGCCTGCAAATTGATTCTAGAATTCACATGCAAACGGCTTTGTGCCACCAGAAAGGGGCGAGGGCCCCCTCGACCACACAAGGCCAGTGCTGCTCTACGGCCATCCAGCCAAGCAGAATGCAAGAACAACTGAAAACTCAGCACCTGCACCCTGAACTGACAAAACCTACACCCCCGCAACAGAAATCTACAAGGTGGTAATGTGCACTCGGGGATGCAAATCTGAGCCTTTCAAGCAAGGGAGCTCCCGATGGCCACATATTACGAGCGGACAGCTATTCCTCCAAACCGGGTCCCTTCGAGAGGCCATGCATGCCCACGGGGGCCTTCGTGCATGGCCACAAGAATCAGCACAGTGAATGTGCGTATGCACATTGGGCCATGCGGCTCGCAACAACCTGTACGAACATGGACAATACACAACGAAGATATGTACAAAGCCATCAGTTAAAGAAAGATGCAGCGGTTAAATTCTCCACATCATCAAACAGCTGGACCCATGCAGTTTTGTTTCCCTAGAGCATATCACCTTAAGAGGCATCGGCGAAGTAGTTGATTGGCCTCCAGGTTCAGGTTGAAACGGCGACCACATGTCAGAATCTGCAGGCTGCTGGGTAGTTGGATGCCCTCCCAGCGATTCGCCAACCGTCAGAATCTGCATTCTGCAGGGTGGTTGGATGCACCCAACGCACCGGTGGAAATGGTGACCGAACGGCAGACTTTGAAGGCTTCTGGGTAGTTGGATGCCGTCCAGGCTCCGGTTGAAAGCATAACCAAACACGAAGCTCAGCAGGCTGCTGGGAAGTTGGGTTCCCTCCAAGCTCTGGTTGAACTCACAGCTAAACGTCATACTCTGCAGGTCGCTGGGTAGCGGATGCGCTCCAGGCTCCAGTCGAACCCATAGCCGAATGTCATACGCTGCAGACTGCAAGGTAGCTGGATGCCTTCCAGGCGCCGGTTGAACGCGTAGCCAAACGTCAAAGTCCGCAGGTTGCTGGGGAGCTGGATGCCGGCTGAACGCACAGCGAACAGTCAAACTCCGCAGGGTGCTGGGAGTTGGATGCCTTCCAGGCTCCGGTTGACATGGTGAGCAAACGACAAATTCCGCAGGCTGCTAGGTGGTTGGAGGCCCTGGCTGAGCTCTCGGCATAGATACCATGTGAACGAAATCAACTTTCCCAAGGCAGCAACATCTACATCAGACAGCGTCTTCTCATCGAGTATTCTCCATTGGAGCTACGACATGCCTCGCTGATGAGGAAATACATAGAAAGAAAGAAAGATAGAAAGATACATCCTTACGTACAGTCACTAACATACGTATATGCAGACATGCAGACTGCAACAATCATGTGTACACGTAGAGCACGTTACCAGTACTGTGCTTGTTTGTTTTTAGCAAAGTTACATGCACTGTAGTGTAGCTGCCGCACTCCTTCCCCGCACACATGTTCGTTCATTCCTCGACACCGTTTGAAGCCTAAACTCCCAGGATCTCTGATGTGACCTATGGCAAAGCTTCGCGCTACGTGACGAAGGAGTCTCTTTGAAGGGTTTGCGCGAAGGTGAGGTAGTGAATGTTTTCTAGATGGCCTGGGTTCAGAATTTGCAAGAGGATCGAAGCCTCTTGCAAACAGAGCTTCAACTCTGTCGTCACCCAGGGGCTTCGAGCTGGTAGGAAGCAGACTTCCGCTTCAGTTTGACGAGCTCCGCCCTGCCAAGGGGAGGGACTGCAAACTATTTGATTCGTTACCGGGCCCGCTTGGTGAAATACCGACGTTTGTGATGGAACACTACGCCCTACGCGCCCAACCCTGAAATCGTAGCCTCCAGCTTCCCCTGCAGGAGCGACTGGGGCAGATGCTGCGGACGGAGTACGACACTTTGGAGGCAGCGGCGGTGTGTGGACGAGTCCCCGAGTTTGGGGATTCCAGGGATGCTTTTCGTGGTCGAGGCCATTAGTCATACTACAGAAGCGCTTAGGTTGGATACCGCATGTTCTGACACTTTAGCGGCCATGGTCTATATTCTAAGGAGGAGCATACTGAGCCTACTCTACGTCTACAGTCTACGGGGACGATGGCGACCTCCAATTCTGCTGCCACTCCTGGTACAATTGTTGCTATTGCTGCTTCCAACTGCATGCCACGACTACCAGCATCTGTCCAATCACTTCTATTATACGATCATGTACGACGTCTAGCCGGCCCGACAACGAGATCAAGAACGACGATGACTATTTTAGTGCGATGTTTCTATTCAGTACCACAAATCACGACAGACACTATCAAGTAGCAGTGCTTTTCTTGTTGTTGAGAAGCAATCAATGTAAGTAGTCTTCCCTTGACCGGCCAGGCTAGCATTCGGGACGAGCCTCGGCTGCAGTCTGCCCGGATTGCGATTTGCGAATCCGGGGACCTTACGGATCTTAGTGGGGTCATTCCTGAAAAAGCAGAGCATGGGGCTCTCTTCGCAGGATGAAATCCCTGAATCCGAAGCCGCAGGCCTCAAGTCCCATGCAGGCCCTAAGACCCCTGAGTCGCCGAAGCCCTAAGCGAAGGAGCGGGGTCCCTCCACACGGTTCTTTGCCGTGGCCACCACGCTGGCAGCGAAGGTTCCGAAGCAGAACGTATCAACACGGCCTGGAAAGTCTGATCCTACGGGGTGAGACTCGGGTGAGAGATGGGAGTTTCCGAAAATTAAGGTACCTTACTTTGGGGTCCTTATAATAAGGATCCTACTCTTTCGGGTACTATATTAAATTAGAGTCCCCCTCTTCTCGGAAACCCCTAGATGGCGCAATGGCAGTGATCGTTTTCGATACTCATATCACCATCCGGTGAAGGTTCAGTGTGTTGGGAGGGCAAGCTGGGGGTTGGGGATTTTGTTGGCAATACACTGCTTCTGTCCGATTGTCATTCAACCGTCTGCATCGGATATATGTGCTTTTTCCAGATTGCACGTGCTTATCGAAAAGGCCCGTCCCAGAAAGCATCACACCGTTCGGTCTTCATGCTGCGGTCTTTCAGATTCAGTTGCCATCTTCAACTGCTGTCGTAGTCGTCTTCGTCGTACTGCAATGAAAAGAAGAACTGTCGTGACACTGACAAGCAGCTGCATGTATCCGTTCTCAGGGCATCCTCCTATCCTTGTTGCAGCCGGCAGGCATACATGTCGGACCGAGAGTGCGAAGGATGGGTGGGCATGACCTACCAGCACAAGGCTCCCCAGTGGGGTGATGCTGGAGCTTCGAAGTTACCTGGCGCCTGGATGGCCTGTGGGACCGCAATGCACGAAGTCGAAACTCTACGCTTCGCAAGCCTTCCTCTGGCAATTCCGCGTGTTTGCATCGTTTCCCCTGCGCATTCGCTTCCACGAAGACAGTGTGAGACCTGAAAACCTTCAACCCAAAGTCCCTAAACCCTAAACCCTAAACTCTAAACCCTAAACCCTAAACCCTAAACCCTAAAAGCTGAGCCTTCTGCTGCTCCCCGAGGCCCGCAGAGCCTCATGCGAGGTCCCAAACTCACCCAACCTGCCATGCAGGTCTCGAAGCATCCCACACTTGGCCCTTTGATTGTTTCTATGTAGCGACCGCAGGCCGGAGCAAAGCCCAGCACTGCCGAACCCTTAGTGCATCTGGAGTTGACCTTCCCGGCAGCTGGAATGAGGATTTAGGGTCTTACGGTTTAGGATTTTGGGGTTTAGGTTTAGGGATAAGGGTTTCAGTCGTTACGGTTTCGGAGTTTGGATTTCGGGGTTTAGGGTTTAGGGTGTAGGATTTGGGGTTTTAGCCTTTGGCGGGTACCAGAGAATGCTGAGAGTCGTCGCCGCAGTCGCTGTCCTCGTCGTACTGGCAGTCGTCCCCCTTGGCAGCGTGCGTGTCTAGCCGTCGTGGTCCACGTTACAATCCATGCACTGCTACAGTTTAGAACCAGAAGTACATAAGCCATGACAATAATGAATACAATAACAAATTAGTAGTGGTTCTAGTAGCAGCAGTAGCAGTTGTAGTTGTAGTTGTAGTCGTAGTCGTAGTCGTAGTCGTAGTCGTAGTCGTAGTCGTAGTCGTAGTCGTTGTTGTTGTTGTTGTTGTTGTTGTTGTTGTTGTTGTTGTTGTTGTTGAGATAGCAAACATGCCGGCCGAGCCGAAGCGACCAGTCCCGGACCCGAAGGTGCATGACGCGGCAGAGAGCTTGGAAACCGACAAAGGTCAGCAGGCCTCGTCGACTGATGCCACACTATCTGAGAAGGAGATCGCAGCGACTGCGGCGGCAGCAAACAACGAGGCTTTGGCCCCGGAGCTTCAATCGCAGCTTGGATGAGCTCTCCTTATTCAGGTGGCATTGCCAGACATCCAGGCAGGCTGACTTGGTCGGAGGCATTGCCTATCCTAGAGATGGGCAGAGGTGAGAATGCATGGCCGACGCCTGCCGCTGACCTAAAGCTTCAGCCGAGGTGCTTGAGGCGTTTTTGAGCACAGTTCAGCAGCATCCAAACTGCCGCAAAGAAGGGGTTGCGCGCTGCACTGAAGGTCCACTCGGAGGTCTGCTGATGCACTCTGCTTTGTTACCTGCGACACGTCTTGCGCTGACAAAGTGCATATACTCTGCTTGCCGAATTTTGTTAAGGTTAGTTTTAGAGAGCGACGCCGGATCGCCGGGGCAACACGAAGCGCC